TCAAATTTGACCCACTTATGGAAGCTTGGGGTAGAAATACAAAAACTACAATCTCTTAAAATGTAAATTAAAAAATTTGAATGGCATGATATCCAAAACATGTTTTTTGAGGAATAGCTGGAATATGAAATGATAAAAAAATGTAATTGCAAAGATACTTCAAGAAAACCACCTCACCAGGTCAAAAAAGACCCACTTATGCATCTAAGGGTTAAAACTTAAAATGTGTGTTAACTGACTCTTTCACTGTTGTTTCTTTTACTTTAGGACGACCTTAACACTATTGATATGGAGGACGACAAGAGGGACCTCATTTCCAGAGAAATTAGTAAATTTCGAGACACCCACAAGGTAAAGTGGCTTCTTTAATTTTGTAGTTGACATTACAGGTTTTGGACAGCAGCTGCTCACATAGTTCACTCCTAGAGCTTGCACATTTAGTCGACACATTTGCCAAGCTTTCCTTGATCTCATTAACATGCATACTTCGCTGCAAATTGGCAACGCATACAATTTATTCCACCAACCATCTTAATTTGCCCCACATATATAAAATGTTACATATTCACTGTTCAAACACCAGGAGATAGGCCCACAGCTAGTGTTTTTGCCACCTTTCTGGGGCCTGATTTGACACCTGTGACCAAAGTAGTGAAACTATAGGTGTAACTATTATAGATCCATTCTTCATTCATCACACAAATGCATGGAGACGATGTAAAGTTACTTAAAAGCTAATCTATTCATTAAACCCCACCATTATGATAGTGATCATATGGTGACTAAAGCAAGATGAATCTCAGAGCTTTGGAAAAAGTTGCGAGGATAGGATGTAAGTATCAGCCTTTATTTACTATATACATATACTGGGCGTCCCCCTCTTGAGGACTTGCATAGGGGCAACTGTACTACACTTTTGTGTGAGTGGGTCAGGGTTACCATGCTCTTTGTTGAGCCATATGAGACATATGTATAAAACAGCTTTTCCCAACCTTTCACCTTAATTCTGTGAGATTATTGGTGGTGTCCCGAAAGTTTAAGTTGGTGAACCTGTGCGAGTCCTCTGTACATGATGGTCTGTCTTAATGGTGTTCATGTTGAAGCACAAGGACTCCTGTCAATAACCACTGCAGTGACTTTGGCTGTAGCTTTTATAATGCTATTGTGGGGGGCGCCCTCTCCACAGCAGCACGCTGATCTGAAGACTGACGAGGTACGTGCTCTCTGTGTGGGTTATTGTGTGACTTCTTTCCTACATCTCCTTCTCTCCATCACTGTCTTAGCTCTCTGCCTTAGCTAGATCACTGAGTTCTTATTTTCATTTCATCTGTACAGGATGAGAGTCAATACAACGTCCATGTTTTCTATCTAACAAAGAGTTGAACAATTAAACCAAAACGGAAAAAAGAGCAGAAGTTGACACAAAACATAGAACCGTTTCCTCTTTTCCAACTCATTTATCTTGCTTTTAAGAGTAACATTTATAACATCCGCCGCTGTTTAAAAATAGACAACGATCAAAAACGGTTAGACGCTTATAGCCAAATAGTATTTATTTAGCAAGCCCTGGTAGAGACTCTACAAAGGTAAGTAAAAAGACAGAGAACAGATGCATCATTTACAGGATTTATGCTACAGTCAAGGCACATACGTTAATATACTTACCCTGAACTAATGTTTTTGTGTAACACTTATCTTTAGTTGCATTACACCCAAGGCTTTCAGATGTGTCAGTGTTATTCCCCGAGGACCAGCTGACTGCCTGGAGCTTCATACAGTATGACTGTAATGATTTGACTGTTCCAAATACTCCAAGTTTAGTAGTTTGTATCGAGTACTCTCATTCTGGGTCTGATTGTGTTTTTAATTTGAAACACATTACACTCAAAGCCTTGTGTGTAATGCCTATGAAGGCAGACTTAGTATGTGTGTGTGTCTGTGTGTGTGTGTGCGCGTGCGTGCGTTGAAATGTAATCAGTCATGATGATCCGCTGAAGGCTTCTCCAGGGGTAAGACCGCTTCTACAATTTCCTTTTTATCTTTGCAGAAATGTATCTGATGTTCAATGTGTTATTTCTTGATAACCGAATGCTATATTGAAGTAAAAGGTGGATGATGATGATGATGATGATGATGCTTAAGCAAGACAGAATCCCATAACGTTTTTCCTTGTATACGTGTGACCTGCTTTCCTCCCAGGCCTAACTTAAAAGGCTTGTAGGGGCAGCGAAGAGCTGAATCCATAGTTCAACACCTGTAAGTCACAAACAACTAGTTCACCAAACGACTGACGCCTGTTTTCTGTTTTTTGTTTTCACTGTTCTGAGCGGAGGACTCTTAAGAAGAGAAAAAGCTTTGTCTTTTGCAGCGCCTTTTTCGTTATGAATGCCTCGAGTTGAACGTGTTCCACAGATCTTTTTGACCATTAAAGTGGTTTCCAGTTCCATTCCCGCTAAAGTATAGTTTATACTGCAAGTGTAAAGCAGCAGCAGCAGGCCCACTGTTCTGCTTCAGATGGACGGGGAAGTGTCTCTCTGCGAGGGAGAGCTTTTTGATCCTTCCCGGTTCCCCCTGTTAATTTCTTTACAAGCTTTGCACTCATTATTTTAGGGCATGTTCCAGTAAGAAATCTTTCTAAATCTGGAAACCACTTGATCTGTGCACCGTAGAACGTAGACTGCAAAGACTCACCGGATCTTCTGTGGTGTCGGCTGAACCTGTGTGTGTTTTGCTCTGCAGAAACTAGAAGAAGAGAAGGACAAGAGGGAGAAGGAGCGGCTGGAGTTTGAGCGGGAACGCAGGGATCGGGAAAAAGAGCGGGAGCGGGAAAGAGAGCGACGGGACCGCGAGAGGGAGAAGGAACGAGAGAGGGAACAGGAGAGGGAAAAACAGCGAGAGCGGGAGAGAGACAGAGATAAAGACCGCGAGCGACGGCCCCGAGAGAGAGAGCGAGAAAGAGACTGGGAGAGGGACAGGACCCGGGACATGACCCGAGACATGACCCGGGACATGACCCGGGACATGACCCGGGACATGACCCCCGAACGCAGCCGATCCAGGTGAGGGGAAAACCTTCAGAATCAGAATACCTTTATTAGTCCCACGGAGGGGAAATGTGCGTAGTTACAGCAGGAAAAAGAGCCACAGACAGCTTAATGTTACATATGTTAAATATGTGACATGCATTTAAAAAAAAGTAATAAGTTATGATATAATAAAAAGTTACATAATTTAAAAAAATACACATCCTGTAACAGTTCTTAGGATTTAGCAGCCAGGTATATATTACACAGTTATTAACGGCATTTATATATTGCACATCGTTTGTTGGTATTTAGCAGCAATGGGTGACATAGTCTGTGGTGTGTGTGTGTGTGTGTGTGTGGGGGGGGGTCTACTAGGGGTAGTGCTGGTTGTATAGTCTGACCGCTGCAGGAAGGAAAGACCTGCGGTATCTCTCCGTGAGACAGCGGGGGTGTAGCAGCATGTCGCTGAAGCAGCTGCACAGTGCTTGATGGTCATCTTCCCGTCTCTTCTCATGTGTATCGGTTCCACTTTAGATTCAATGATAATATATTCTTATCTTTTTTATTTTTTCTCCAGAGAGGTTAGTCGAGACAGAGACAAGAAACGAGACCAAGAAGATGAAGAGGAGGCGTATGACCGCAGGAAGCTGGAGAGGAAACTCAGAGACAAGGAAGCGGCCTATCAGGAGGTAGGAAATCATAGGGAATAAATCACTCCTACTTGGTCCTTTCTAAACGTCAATTACTGGGAACCCTTGCACTTTCATTAGAGTAACAACATGTGTATTACTCATGTTCCTTGATGTGATGGAGCATACTTTTTTGTTGTGACGGCAGCGACTAAAAAACTGGGAGCTCAGAGAGAGGAAGAAGGCTCGGGATTACGCCAAGGAGGCCGAGAGGGACGATGAGCGCAGACGAGAAATGGTGAGAGTTCGTTGAAAGACCACTGATGTTTCAACCTCTGACATTCGCTACTGAATACAGTTTCTTTCATATCACTGTCTATTTATTTACAGAATGTATTTGATGATACAGTTTAGGGATGCCAGCAATTATTCGATTTTTCGAATATTCGTTACAGTCTCCATAATCGAAAATTATTTTTAAAATTCGATTTTATTTATATATTTTTTTATTATTATTTATGTTTTTATTTTTTTTCCTGGCTTAGTTTCAACCAAAATATAATGCTAATAATAGTATTAATAATTGCAAATGGGCATTGGTCACACCACCAGTTTGTTTTACTGTAAACTTGGAGGAAGCCAGCAGCGCAGGCTGCGCAGAGTGCAGACTGCTGCTGCCTGCTACACACCGACCCCCCCCCCTCTCCGTCAAACGTGCGATTGATTTATTGGCGATATACAGAACAGTGAGAACAACAGAACTAAAGATGAAAAAAGTGGCACGTTCAAAGAAGAGTTCCTCGTGGAACTACTTAGAACTGACAAGTGCAAATGAAGTAAAATGCATGTCTCTAATAATAATATCGATTAATATTCGCCAGGGCTGTCCGATTTTTCGAATTTGATCCTGGTCAGTTTCTGGCATCCCTAATACAGTTACAACTTAGACATGGCCTTCATTAAGGAGCTTAAAGGTAGGGTAGGTAATTCACTTCAGAAACACTTTTTGTTATATTCCATGGAATGCTCTTAACATCCCGATAGCAATGAATACATGAAATGCTTTGACAATAAATAAATACATAAACAAATCTCATCCAAAGTCATCTGTGGAAGCCGTAGTGCTGTAAAAAGCACGCCAGCTAAAATAACTGGATGGCCAACCTGCCTGTCAGCCTTCCATCTGTGCACAAACTTATCTCGTGCCCTCATTGGTCATGATGGAAGGCTGACAGGCAGGTTGGCCATCCAGTTATTTTAGCTGGCGTGCTTTTTACAGCACTANAAGTGTCGATCTTTGATAAACTATAACATTAAAAAAGGTTAAAATATTAAACTTTGTAAAAAAAAATGTAAAACTTTTTTTTGCAACAACTTGTATAGTTACAAGTTTGTGCAAAGGCAATAAGACTACATGGGAGTGTCATAAGGTCATATGAAACTTTAGTTTATGAGTAGAGAAGATGACAACTAGGATGAGTATCGGTGATAGTTAGGTACGCGGCCATACTAGTTCAAACTATCAGGATATACGGGTTTACCGGATTGGAAGTGTATATAAACATTATCGCCAGGAAAACTCAGGAACTTTTCGGGATACGTTTCAACTACAGGGAACACTAATGATCACAATAATAATAGACCTGTCCATAGTAGTACAAACCGCACATGGATGAATAGAAAAGACGATACACAGTGAAAGCTAGCCAACACACAGGTGACACTGACTAGCTACTGCCGCTGTCAACTCCTAGCTCTTCAGTCTACCAAGGATCTCTAAGGTATCCTATACGGAACGCCCAGACTCAAACTAGATGAATAAGCATAGGAGCCCATCTTTATGTCTTGGAGAAGGAGAAAGAGAGGTAGATTTATTGTCTAAGAAACCTAGACCGTCATATCAGGTTTTGTACAAACAACTCAAAAGTTATCGACCGTAGATACTAGACTATTTTTCTACATTAAATGTAGACTATGCACTCTTCTTGGTAAGTCCCCAGACTTTTTGTCCGTGATAATAGCGTAAGAACTCCCCCCAATACTGACTGGAACAGTTGACTGAGAAAGTGACAACAAAGACAAATGAATCCGCTGGAATGTGACAGCTATACACCTCGATCTGATCTCCGTAGGGTGAGAAGAGGTGTCTTGAATCAATTTAGAGCTCTAGTAAGGTGTTCAGCATTACACCGAGAAATTAAAACAGCAACGTAAGGTCCAAAACCTGTGTCGAGACGCGAGTGATCAGAGTGTATGGATCTCGACGTGTAAACTTCGTTGCGCAGTGTAGACATAGAGAGTACACACACGGGGAGGGGTGACGGGACGGGTGGCCGAGTCTTTGGCGCACCAAAGGTACTCGTATTTTGTATGGGTGTGATTGGGTTGTCAACTCGGTGCTAGGGAAGTTGTCGGGAGTAAAGGGGGCCTGGGCTGTACTGCGCGTCGCTAGACAGCATAACACGCTGAAGTGAACTGCCCGCAACGGGGCTGCCGGCGGAGGGGGAGCCGTGAGAAGAAGGGCGAGGGCGCGGCGGCGGATTGTTTAAGGTGTACAGACCAATGTACGGTCATGTGTTGTCCTTGGCTCAAGTTTGCGTCCATCTCCCCAAAACTTTTCTACCTTTGTCTGTCTTAACGATGTCGTTTGCCTAAGTATGCAAAGTCAGACATACACTTAGTCAAGGGAATGGCGTTCGTCGACACGACTAGTCTACAGACTTCGAAAGAGACTGAGTACGAAGGGCGTTTGTGACATCCACCACCCAGGCGACAAGGCTAACAAAGAAACTGAGCAATACGGAAAATACGTAACCTCCGAATGACTAGTGTGAACGGATCTTCCGTAAATGAGAAACTTCCCCAGTACTGCGGTACACCCGTAACCCTACGTAAACTGGGAGGCAACTAGCGGTGTTCTTTTGTAAGGTAACAATGTCATTTCTGTTCTCCCATGAAAAATAATCAAATGAACATACATTAGTCTCTACCAGCGCGCAATTACTTTCGATTGATAGTGCACGTAAGTTTTTTCATTATATAATGGACAAGAAGCCGAATGAGAGATGGTCGCAAGAGCGTCCTCAAAAAACCTGCATAACTCTAACGAGAGGGGCTGTAGCCGCCACGACGAAATATTTTCATTGCTGGTCATTGCGCTACAGCCCGTTACAGATGATTGACATCCACACATATATGCACTTATACCTTTCAATTGCGCAATGTCCAAGAGGAGCAAATGGCTGTTTTCATTATAATAATGGTCATGCGCAAATGTGGGTTGAGACTAACAATTATGGTGTATGACATGAGACATTTACACACATTGAAGTGTAAAAGTAAACAATGAGACACTTCCCGACGTTGTAAAGTAGAGATTATTATCAAACAAATTTGACACCAAATGTATTGCATCTGATTCACTTGCCTTCGTGACAGGAAGAGTGGTAAGTAAAACCCTGTCGCACTCTCAATAGACTCGCTGCGCGCGCCGCGGGCGTTTTCGACTCCCCCGAGGTCCATCCCGTTGTCGCCGCCAAATTACTCCCCGCTCCTTGTAAGACCGAACACTTCGCCCGTTGGACTACCTTTCTTGTTACTTCGGGAATGGCTAGCCATAAATCCACAAAGTGGTGAGTAACTAATGTAAGACAGAATAAATAGGGCGCACAAGCGAAAAATGTGACATATATCAGACGAAGTGACCAGTGAGCGTTGTAAATCCGAACAAAAAAATGGAACGTAATATATGAGAGATATCACCTGCAAATAGCGTAAGACTGTAACCAAATAAACTCACACTTACGACAAGAAGAAAAGAAAAAGAAGGCGTTTTACCAAGAATAGAACTGGTTTGATGTCAAACCGAGAGTGGTTGGAAGTCGTATAAAGTCCGAGCTGTAATGTTATAGTTTTATAAAGTCGCGGAAAAGCGCGTACTACCCGTTGTACAAGTTCGAGAAAAGGATGCTAGAATTCGTCAAAAAATTTGAAAGAAAAAATTATACACCCACCATACCGTTGACTTCAATGCGTGTAGACGGAGAACTCCCCCCGACTTCCCTGTTTTTGAAAGATTTTACAGACCCGGTAATGTCCGGTCCAAGCAATTTAAGGTCGCGGACTGAGAAGCAGCCATCGTCGTCGCGTCGACGCTAGTGGAAAGACACACATCATTTAGGACGGTTTCGCGCACTGGGAGTAACAGCGGCGTTCCACTGGTGGTTTTCGTGTGGAGGTCGCTGCGAGGGTCCCAGCCGACTGGGTACACGTACGTTACCGTACAGAGAATGGCGTTATCGACGACTGCCGAAAAGTCTTGTTATCAATCGTCTCTACGATCTCGCAATGTATAAACATAAGTCTTGTTCTTTAACCTTTCCTGGAAGGAAATCCCAGGCGTACAGGTACCTCTTGGAAACAGAGCCCACCCAGAGTGTGTTCCACAAACTATTGCACGCAGCGAGTTGCGTTTGTATGTCTCACCGACTCAATAATGGTCGCACCAGAGCGCGAGAGAAAAAAGACCTCTGCCAAGATGACGAAGTTGTACAACGGTGTACGTAACGCATATGTAATAACCACCAACACACTTTGCAAACGTCAATTTATAAAGAGCTCGAAAAGTTCACAAAAAAGAAGTTATAAAAGAAAGGAATTAGTCGAAGTAAGTCGATGATGAATGGAAATTATATGAGTCTTTCGTCAATATACGATTATTTCCCGACCGAATAGAGTTTAGAGTTTTCCGGCCAACGCATCCGTAACTAACAAAACTCATGGATACTTGGGCGAGCATAAGATACAAGGACAAAAGAAGTCAAACACTAAAACGAACCAGCTTGTGTAAAACATTCACGAAACCCTATTTCGCAGTCATTTACGTTACATTGGCGGACAGTTAACTATAGATTTTGAGCGGAACGCGGTATGAACAGCGATGCCTCTTTGGTCGCAACCTTATGAATGCCAAAATAAGATAACTCCTCAACTCCGAATCGCTGAAGAATCAAACAATGCAATGGAAAAAAATTGGAAAAGAAACATTATCATCGAACGAAGTGATAAAAAGAGAGTACAAATGTAAGAAAAAATCGTCTTGCAGTAACGTTACGTAAACTCGACATCGTTAACGAGACTAAGGTTTAGTAAGTGAAAAGACGCAAAGAGGGATCTACAGCGTGTGTGAAGAACAAAACAACATCGTATGTATTTTCGTCGAGTCCCTGTACAGTGATTATGTTACATTTTTCGTCTTTCACATGTCACAATGTCGACGGCGATATCTGCCATCGTAAATAACAAAGGATGAGACCAATGACAGAACTCGTGAAAAACACACCAGAGAGAGAGGAGAAAAATCATCATCATACACCAATAACAACTCTAGGGAGAGCGCGGATTCCATAATTAACCGGTATGATGTGCATGGACATGTATACTGTTATGTGCGATGCGCGAACTCAGACACTTAACGACAAGGACCAAAGTGTGTTACTGAACACAAGTGTGACGCTACTCAGAGTGTACACTTGAATGCGAGAAACTTATCACGCTACCAAGTTGGAGCGAGAGCGCAATAAATGTAACTCTTCCTGGGACGTTATTTGGGACGATACTCTACAAAGGGTGCACACACTGGAAAACGATATTTGACACTGGGACGAAAACCTCCATTCCATGAAATTCAGATCCGAAAACGAGGTCACGCCCTCACGCGGCAACTGAATTATGGTTATTTTGGGAGGTCAAATAATGAAGAAGCGAAACTACACAAGCCATGTAACACACCAGATCGAATCATTGCATTGCGTGTAATTTCCTATATTGTTTCGATGGTAAAAGTTTATCAATCGGATTCGATCGTAACTCTCCGGGATGGCATGGCCCTGTTAATAATCATTCGATTGTAATCGGCTATTGACGGCCACAAGGAGATTTCTTCCTGAGTGAAATCGCCCGGGCCTATACCAAACCTATGTTGTAGTTTGCAGGCAAATAGTTATGATCCTAATCACCGCATGTTTACCTGTGTGTGTCGAGAGCGTCCCAATAGATTATACTTTAGAAACATTGCAGGCACAAACCTAATCGTGCGACCGATCAGTTCCCGGAGAGCCTTTGTAAGTGCGTCGCGAGATGCGGTGTGAGCTTTCCGCTTTCGCCGAACAATACACCTTAGTTGCGGCCGCCTGCACGCCCGCCTCGAGCTGTTCAGTATAATCATGACAGTACATTCCATCCTATCTATCGCGAAACAACTAGGTTAACACCTAAAAGGGGGCAGTGTCCGTCGTACATCTATTCTGTAACGTATCCCAACATCTCCATGTTATGTCAATTTTATTTGGTTAGGTTTAGTACACTTATAGAGTAGTTTAGTAGCGTTTTGAGGAAGTAATCGCCTGATTCCCACCATTTTCTTTGTATTACTAAATATTATACAAATGATTTTTCTTAACCAAAATGACAAAAATGGCATAAAAACACATTATTCTAATACGGGTCCTTTTTGAGCCACTTATGGACGAGTGTGGGGTCCAGCCACTCGTGCTTCTAAGGGTTAAGAAGACAGAGACAGGAATACATTCCATTTGGCGTACCTCTTCTTTTTTCTCCTTTCTTCTCTTTCGTCGTTGGGAGTCCTCGTCCTGTGAAGGCGCGTTGAGTTCGGAAGCATATTCCTGCATCAGTCCGTCGATAGCACCTTTGGTGATCTGATCCTTCTTCTTCGTCTCCTCGTCTAGAACCTCTTCCTCATCATCTCCTCCATCTTCCGGCTTCTTGGTCTGCCAGTACAGGAAACATCTTAGTTTAGTTTCAATTGTTCCGCCTTTGTTCTAAAGCTTAATAAATCTGAGACGTGGAAAGCCATTCAGAGATCTGAAACAGCAACTAAATGTATTCTTGAGGCAATGATGATTATACCCCATTCGCAGTCTTTTTCTTGGCCTTCCACTCGTCCAGCTGAGCTTTAGTCTTGGCATCCACCTTCACCAACAGACTTTTGTCTCCAATATTCAAGTCATGAAGCAGCCGCAGTGCTCGCAACGTGGACTCTGGCTCCTTGTACTCACAAAACCCAAAGGCTGCAAAAGATTTGAAGCAAGTTAATCTGTGTTCATGTGTGGTTTAATGAGATAACAAATACAAATAACCCCAAGTTAGCCACGATTCAAAGTATTTCCGGACCGAATGAAGCTAGATCTGTCTATTGTGCATTACCTTGAAGCTTGCCAGAGGCTCCCTGGACTCTCTTCCAGCTCAGTACAATTCCACACTTCTGTAACATGAGTACAAAAGGGAAGAGTTAAAAACCCAGGTAGAAGGGGGTTAAAAATATGAAAAGAAAATGCTACAGCAAAAGATTCATAGTTTCAGTTGTATGTGAAAATCAGTTCCTTACCGCAAGCAGCTGTCTGATCAGCATGTCTGAAGCTTTCTCTGATATGTTCCCCACAAACACTGTGGTGGTGGGTCCGCTGTTCTCATTGTTTTCTTTGACTCGCATTATGTCCTTTTTATGCATTGGAGGCTTACTGATCACTTGCATAGAAGGCATCATTATTGAAGGGGTCATGATGCCCATGTGCATTGGGATCATTTGACCTCCTGCAACAGCAAGAAAACATACATTTAAAGTAGAGACAAAGAGGTCTTTTTTATATAGTTTACTGTATTGTAATCAGAGATGGGGTCGTTACTGAAAAAAAGTAATATATTACATTTAAAAAAAGTAATATATTACTTTACTTCGTTACTCTCTACCAGCGTTTCCGCCAGGAGTATTTTGGAGTATTGAAGATTGTTTCCCCGACATCGGCGGTGCCTGCTTATAAAAGTAACGAAGTAACGCGTGTCGGGCAATGTTAGTAACTGTAGTGTGATTACTGAATTATGAAATTAACGCGTTACATTACTCCGTTACCGACAAAAGTAATATTATTACAGTAACGCGTTACACCCAACTCTGATTGTAATACAATACTGTATCTGTAAATGTGTGTAACTTCCAACATTTTCATTTGTCTATCTGTAAGGCTGCAACATCTATTCTAATAATAGTTTGTTTAAAACTGTGTTTACCATAACAGTAGATAAAGTGAAAGAGGATGTCATTGACATTCATTTTGGGACAGGTGAGAGCATACCTGAGGCGAAGCCAGCAAACTGAGGGGGCATCCCAGGAGGGGGCAACAGCGGCCGGTTTAAATGAGGGGGGAAGGACATTCTGGTTGTGAGCGGGACCAACCTGATGAAAGAACAATGAAGCCCATTAACAATCTATTTAATGTTTCACATCATTATTTTACATTCTGGTCTTATTTATCGTATTCTATTTACATGTATATAGCCTCCTGCATTCACTTGGTCACTCGCAACATTTAGCTTGTTTTATTTTATTGACATATATACTCTATAGTGGACTTCATCCGCATTACTTGAACATTGGTCTTATTTAGTGTGAATGCTGTTCTTCTTTTCTTTATTCTTCCGCAAAATATTATTATTTGACCAAAAAGTTTGGCTCTCAATAACTTCAGCATACTTTCAGCTACAGAAACCATTACAATGTCAAAATATTCAGCCTTTTCAGCACATGATGGGAAACTTTCAACTTTTTTAAATATTAAGATTTTTTAAACTCTTCTTTTAATATGGAACTAAATGGATGGCAAATGAATTAAGCAAAATGCCTCTTGAGGGCATGAAGTGACAAAAACTTTCAAAATGTCTGCATTAAGGCCCATTGTAAATTCAGCCTGATCTTTCCTCAGAGCAGCAGCTGCACACTTTTAGTAAATCTGCCAAAAGATGCCACCTTATTGACCCGAAAGTA